CCTCCAACTGGTGGTTTGCAGGGAACTTCCCGCCCCACCCCCCGACACAAAATAGTACTTCTAAGCCCTCGCAAAATGTTCACTTTCCAGGCACGGTGCCTGCAACTCAAAGGGTGCAGTAACGAGCCTACTTCCAGCGTTCTGAGCTGGAAGATGGCGTGTTGATTATCACAGCTTTGGTGCTGATGAAGGATGCTATTTTTCCCAGCAGTTTTCGGAGCACCACGGCACCGCGCAAGTCGTTGTCTGCTTGGCACCTGTTGCTCTTGGTATCCCAGCACACCATTCATGCAGTTCCAGCGTGCAGGGTCATGCTCTGATTGCAACATGTTCCCAACTGTTTCTCGACAAATTTCCCCAACGCTCTTTTTGCAGTTCCCAATGAACCCTTTGGACGCCCTTGATTCTAGGGGTTGGTTCCCCATTCTTTTCAACCATCGTCCTTTTCAAAGACCAGCTGTTTCCCATGGGTTTTTGATGGTTTCCTGAAAAGAAGGATCCCTGGAAGTACTGGAAATGGAAGTTTCCCTAGATTGATCGCCGGGCAGTACACTTCGCGCTGGTGGTTCTGCTGAGGCGCTGCGTTCTCCTTTTCCGGCATGGGGCCCACTATGGGCGCAATGACCTGGCGACTTGCAGGACATGTGTCGCAGAGGGACCCTTCTCCGCTCCTTGACATGTTGGTTTTGCATAGCTTCAGGGTTTGGAATTCAGTGTTGTGACCATTTGGAGCCACAGCATGTTGGTGTTTTGATGTGATTTGCATAGCAGGGATTGGAATTCAGTGCGACCAGTTGAGAGCCATGACTCAAGGTGGACAACGATCTTGAACTCATCTAAAATCCTTTGCCGGACCTGTCTGAAACCACTCCTAGTCTTGTCCGCTTCTCCTCCGTGGCCATTGGCCATGGCGAAATCGGCGCCTGCAGTGCCCTGCCGATCGGCGGAGTCAAGTGATTCCGGGCCGAGAAGGTGCCTTCGCCTAGGTGAAGCCGCTGGCTGGGCCCCCGCGTGGATCTCTGGCAAGCGTGAAAGTAGACGGCTCAAAGCACTGGGAAAGTACACAAGGGAATGACTCAACCAAAATGGAAAGATTCTTACCCAAGTCTAAAGATTGGCCTTTGGCCTGTTTCCCCCTCCGCTGAGGAAACAGTGACAAAAGTAAACCCGAATGCAATCACCCCATATTTCAAACCAAGTTCACACAAGGAGAAATCCTCTTTCCTTAGACGTCGACTGCCGCACCTCTCTCAAGGTGCCCTCCTCTTTTGAGATCACTTCATGGACTCAGTCTGCCACTTGAAGGTGTGGATGGTTGGCCACATGTTCCCTACAAATTGGCTTGCAAGGTCCAGGTCACTTCATGTGTGGTCCTGTTGGTGCGCCAAATTATTGGCCTCGCCTGGTGAAAGCTATATACGAACATTAAGAAAGTAACGCCGTGATGCCCATGTGCACAATGACTACAAGCCTTCTAACCTTCTACCTGGCAGCAGTGAAGTGGCTACTGCAAGCCTTCCAACCTTCTACCTGGCAGCAGTGAAGTGGCCACTGCAAGCCTTCCAACCTTCTGGCTGGGTGACTTTGTTCAAAATTGCCCTCAAACTGGCGCTTCAAGGGAAGCCCCCAAACAAAGACATTATTGTTTGAGAGCCCCTCAACCTGTTCTAAGGGACCCAGCCTGAGCGTAGCTACGGGAAGGGTGTGGCTCGCAAAGGTGTCCTTCAAGCTACGTTTGCCTTCCCTCCCACATGCAGAAAACCGGATCCCTCAAAGGCAACAACGTGTTTGGATTGCGCACAGCTGGAGTGATGATCAAAACGCGTTTATAAATATATACATATATATATATATTTATTTATTTATTCATAATTATTCAAAATAAAACACACATCCCATAAGGCCCTCTCTCTGGCGTCGTTTGCCGCTAGCACCCGGGTTACCAATTTGAAACAACCGCCGAGCAGCACAGTATGCCGATGGTCTCCTCCAAACTGGCCTCAGACAAATTGGTTGTGCTGGTTTCATGGGCAGGGACGGTTGGGAATGACGTGGAATGCCCGAAGCTGAATCATCCTGGCTTTTTTGGGGGGACCCCCAGGACGAAAACCCCCGAAAGTCCCTGACCAGCAGGAAAAGGTCAATCCGATTCTTCTGAGATTCGCCCCCCCCCCCACCGCAAATTGATATGGAACCCAAAGAAACACCCCTAGAAGTTTTAATGTTGTGGTTGTGCGGGCTCCATGTCAATCTGCGGAGCAAACATCCCCTTGACCCCAAAAGTCATGGCAAACGGAATCTACTGGAGCCATCTTTCGGGCGAAAGGTCCGGTCTTGCAAACCCGTGTCCTCACACGCAAGAAGCAGGAACCACGACAGGCAAGTGCCTCCAAAGCATGCGGCCGGCACCAAAGCAATCCAAGCGACCGAACTGCAGCTCAAAACGGCTAGAGCCATTCTGCTTCCCTGAGAATCTGCAGCTTGTTTCCACCTGAAGTTCCCCTTTGCCCCGAAAACACCTCTGCCGCCGAGGCTGCGAACATCTGGACGTCCTCTGGGTCCAGGCCGTCCCCCAGGGCTGAGGCCCAGCCTTCCAGACTGGCCTTAGCGCCGCTTCTGCGCCGTGAAGCGGATTGGCATGCGAGACAAGGCAGCCTAAGCGCGACTGCGCAGACTTGACGGCTCAAAGCTTGACAAGCTAACCCTTGGTGCTGGCCGCTTCGAGGGGAGATATCTGAAGTGCTGATGAGACAGCCACACTTGTGAAAGAAGGGATCCAAGGGGTCACCGGCGTACCGCTGGAAGAACTGGATGGTAGGTGGTCACCAAGCGAAAACCAGAGGAATCCGGTGTTTTAATCAAAGCGACCTAAAGAGAGAAATCGGACAAGGAGAACAACTATGCACAACACCAATTCTCTACGAGGGACCCCTATGTAGGGGGGAGGGGGGACCCCCACATATACATTTAAGCTGCGACCACAATCCTACCGCACCCCCCCCCCCCAATATACATAAAACTCCGCTTTTGCTGGGTTTTGCCCCAAACATCAGCAAGAGACCAAAGCCAAGCAGGCCCATGGCAGACCCTGAAAAATTCCAGCTGCGCAAAAAGAAGCGGCGCCCGCACACAACAAGCAAATTAGGAGCCCTCCTGAAAGACGTCCCACTTCACGCAAGTGATCAGCCCGACAAGTAGGCCCTGAAAGAAACAAGCTTCGCAAAAAAAACGGGGGCCACACACAAAAAGAAACAATACAAGCCCTACAAACAAGATCTCACTTCACGAAAAGCAGCAGGCCGACCCAGCCGGCCAGCGCTAGGGCCTGAACAAAAACACAGCTAGCGCAACAAAACGGCAGCCACGCACAACAAGCAAATTAGACACCCTACGCAAAAAAAACAATTTGAAGAAAGCAGCAGCCCGACCAAGCAGACTAGTAAACGGCGAAATAAATCTAACCGCGCAAAAAAACACAATCAAGAAACAATCAAGTGGGTTAGTGACAAGCCCGAAACAAAAACAAATTGCAAAAACACAAAGCGCAGCGACACACAACAAACAAATTAGAGGCTCTACTTGCCAACAAACAGTTGACAAAAAACAGCTGCCCGAACAAGCAGACCAGTGACAGGACCTGAAAACAAGCCGCGTACAAAAAATCCAGAAGCCCCACTAAAAACATCCCACTTGACGAAGAGCAGCAGCCCCGACCAAGCAAACAACTAGCAGGCCCTGAAAAACAACTTCGCAAAAAAGGCAGCCACACACAACAAGCAAATTGGAAGCCCTACACTAAAAGCATCACATTTCACGAAAAGCATCAGCCCGGGCCAGTGACAGGCCCTAAACAAAAGCTAGCTGCAAAAACACGGCGGCAGCTACAAACAACAAGCAGATTAGAACCATTGAAGGGGCGACCGCCGAGGGGGTCATGGCCCGACGGCGACGGGGTCGGGGCCCGACCGGCGACGCGGTCGGGGCCCGACCGCCGGAGGGGTCGGGGCCCGACCGCCGACGGGGTCGGGGCCCGACCGCCGACGGAGTTGGGGCCCGACCACAGGCCCTGAACAACTCAATCTGCACAAAAGAAAGGCAGCCACACACAAGCGAATTAGAAGCTCTACCTTGACAAAAAGCAGCAGCCCGACCAAGCAGCCCAGTGACAGCCCTGTAAAAAATCAAGCCGCGCAAAAAAGGGCGGCAGCCACACAACAAACCAGAAGCCCGGCGAAGACATCCCACTTGCAAAAAAGACAAGAGACCAGAACAGCACGGGAGCAGGAGACTAAGGAACATGATTGAAACGTGTCTTGTTTCTTGATGTCCTTTGCAGCCACCTGTGTAGGTTACATTTCAGCGCCCGGTCGCAAAGGAAACTGCGCGTGCTGTCGGGCCCCGACCCCGCCAGCAGTCGGGCCCCGACCCCGCCAGCAGTCGGGCCCCGACCCCGCCAGCCGACCTTTTCCTGAAGCAGGGTGTTCTGAGTAGCACTTCTAATTTGCATGTTGTCTGTGTTACCGCCTTTCTTTGTCCAGCTGGATATTTGTCAGGGCCTGTCACTGGCCTACTTGTTGGGCTGATGATTTTCGTGAAGTTGGTTTTTCTCCAACAGCTGAAAGCTTTGGGGTCTCAGCCCAGATAGGCTCCGGGGTGGTCCCGGACGGCCCTGAGGTGAGGTTCCACGAGCGTTCCATCAGGGTTCCATCAGGGTTCCGCGAGGTTCTGCGAGGGTGCGGGGTGGTGCGCGCACTAAAAAGAGCACCGCATGCTGTTGGGATGTCACCTGAGCTTATTTTTTAGGTAGAGCGACTGTTTTGAATTTGTCCACCGTTTATTTTGGGCAGCTGGATTGTTTTCAGGGCCTGGCACTGGCCTACTTGTCTGGCTGATGATTCTCGTGAAGTGGGAGTTTTTAGCAGAGCTTCTAATTAGTTTTTTTTTTTTTTTTTGGGGGGGGGTTGCCGCCTTTTTTTTGCGTAGCTGGATTTTTGTCAGGGCCTGTCACTGGCCTACTTGTCGGGCTGATGATTTTCGTGAAGTTGGTTTTTTATGTAAAGATTCTATTTTGTTCGCCGTGTGTTTTGCGCAGCTGGATTTTTTCAAGGCCTGGCACTGGCCTACTGGTCTGGCTGATGATTCTCGTGAAGTGGGCTGTGTGGGTGCCAATTTGTTGTACAGTTTTTCCTGGGCCTGTCACTGGCTTGCTTGGTCGGGCTGCATTTTTTTGTGATTTGGGCGTTCTGCAATAGAGTTTCTAATTTGTGTTTTGTCAGTGGCTGCCTTTTTTCGCGGCTAAAGCCATTGGTGCGTCAGGGGTCACTTGTTCTTACGCCCGGCGGGCTTAAGAACAAGTAGGCACTTTAGCGAACAAGTGACCAGGTCACTTGTTCCGGTTGGCCCCCACTTGTTCTTATGCCCGCCGGGCGTAAGAACAAGTGACCCCTGACGCACCAATGGCTTTAGCCGCGAAAAAAGGCACCCCTGCCCCGGTTCGATGTTCTCACACCTCTGTGATCCCGACAGCAACGAATCCGACACTCGTCGCCCTTCCATTTCAGCTAGTTCCTCGCGATGCCGGCGGCCTTCTTTGCAACGAATGTATCTAAATCGCAGCGCTGGGACTGCTGGGCGGCACAATCAATCAGCTAGCTCTCTCCCACACAGGCTTTCTCATCAGCACTCCCCTGCTGGAATTTTCGAAAGCCTGCGGCTATCGGTCTGACGTAGTGGATAGCAACGCATTGCTCCAATTGCCCTGGGTAAGCCAGCTTGTTTGCCTGGATTTTGCATGCTTAGTGAGGGCTCCATGTATCTCAGAACCCACGATCGCCACGGGGGGGTATGGATCGACTTGAACCTTGGCCGGAGCAGGAAGTGATCACAGGGGCCCAGCTGAGTTCTGTTGCGCCTCGCTTACGGCGAAAAGCTCGTGCCCTTCAGCATGGCGCTGCGACGATGCGCTTGCTTGAGCTAGGAAACTAAACACCACTACTCTTTCGAACGAATGCTTCCTAGGGCTCATATCCGGCAGTGCGTTGATTCAGCGTCACTTGAAAGCAGTACTTTGTCTTCAGGGCGGCCCTACTCAAAGCAAAATGCAGCAAGCCCTATACTATACGAGCGGCGGTCGTAAACCACTTAGCAAGTAGATAGGGTCCGCGTCTGTACTGCTGACTTCTTGGCACTTACTTCTCAAAGAAGAGACCGAGGTGAGCGACACGATGCCCCAGAAGACGGTGGCGTCAGCAAGACTGACAAGCTTCCAAACAAGGCGCGCGGTGCTTCCCCCGAAGCAATCCCAGCGCTGACTTCGAAGCGAGCTGGAAGTTTGACCCTCATCACACTTTCAAATCTTGGGCCCTCTCGGAGGCGCGCGCTTTTACACGTGTGCGATGCAGGAGCTAGAGCTGTTGAACGCCGGGGGGGGGGGCCTAATTGGAGAGACAATTGTAGTGGGTGTTGAAGTAGGCCAGGGCCAGCCACTTGAAGCAACCTTGACAAAGTTGGCGGATATGTCCCTGGGCTTTGTCCACGTGGTCCGCGCAGATCAGCGCCTGTTGAGCAGCAGAAGAGTCTCACAATCAAGGAATCGGACACCATCGCCTCCATCAAGCCCTGGCAGCACAAGATGGAGCGAGTGACAGCCCTTGACAAGCTTGCTCAGCTACATGCCCACTTCAACACTCCGTACGAGTTCTAGGACATGTTTTTGGCAAAGCCCGTTCTCGGGCTGCTGCCGGAATGCGTGATGCGGATTGCTGGCACATGGGCCTCTAGAATCGCGCAACACCTACACTAATTTGAAAGCATTCCAACACTGAGCCGCAAACTCGCGGACCTTTCCAGGTCCATTTGCAGCCATTTGCTTCTGTCTACCTACAATTGCGCCTGCCTTCCATAAGGCTGTGACTGTATATCGCTTTCTTAGGTTCTCAGCCTTGGCAAAGCGCTTAAGAATCTTGGGGCGGCAAACGTGGAAAATGTATTACATACATCCCCCCCCCCCCACTGGGCATACATTATGAAAGGGGTCCCCCGTCTCTACCCCTGGTTTGGCCTACTAGAGGCTTCCATCGCAACTGCCACTGCTGAAACCCCCTTTCCAAAGGGTAAGGCAGGCCTTGCCAGGTGGCCAAGTCTGCGCAGAGAGAGCTGGACATGCTCTGCAAACCGCCTCAGCTTGGCGAATGGATGCCTTCTCTTGAGGGCACCCTTTCAAGGCTGGCTTTATCGGGATATCAATGTGGAAAGTAACCCCTTTTAGGGATCAATGATTTTTCACACACCCGAATGGATTTTCTATCATGCATGGTGAATTTGACTCGAGGAACACAAAAATGCGATTTTCCAGACATTGAACAACACACATGCATCTCACAACAGGGCCGCCTATCTGTGCGAACACCGTTTGAAGCAAATGCACTTCCGAAAGCTGCCCGTGGTTGTTGCGCAAAGCGAATGGACAGCCGTAGCCCGCAGGCAAAAGGCCACCAGCGAATCGTTGCCGGCCCGTTGCCGGCCAATTGTGTTACACACGCCACCTCTGCTGCACAATGCAAGTTGAGAAGTCAGAAGTCACTGCAGGTTCCAATCATCGCGCCGAGAAAAAGAGTAGAGCCCGCTGATCTCTGCAGCCCAGAACGTCTCACTATCCAAATTCGCGGGTGACCATGTGTGATCCGGCTTTTGCACCAGCATTGCTAGAGTACAAAATGGGCATCTGAGAACACGGCTCGCTGGGCCCCTGATCTTCTGATCTTTCTACCCCGCAAACCAAAAAATGGGGAACCCAAACAAGCAGTCCTTGAATAGAAGATTCCTCCACAAACCATTGGTTTGGATTCCAGGTCAAGTTGCCACGGCAAGTCTCCCCTCCAATTCCTCCACAAATCATTGGTGGTTGGATTCCATATCAAATTGTCACTCAGTCTCCCCTCCCCGTCGGTGACATGGGAATTCCTCGATTCCTCAAGCCCGGAAAAAGCCGCTTTCCGCTCCACAGGGCTCAAGGCACCGGGAGCGCCGATCAGCTGCAGTGGCTGCAGCATCTTCTTGGCCATGGCCTGCGAAGCCGAGCCTTGTGACGCCAAGGGCTTCCCTACGTGTCCCCTCCTTCTCTTAACTCGGTTGCTTTCTGCTCCCCGGCGAAAAGCTTTAAAAAAAAGAGTGGTTTGATGGAAAACCAATTTGTTGGCAACAAGTTAAATAAAGTCCTAACATCCAAGCAACATGCAACAAAGTTAAGCTGCGATCGGTGCGGCACGTAGGGAATCTTCCCTTAAATTGGGCCAACAGGTGATGCTCAAAACCAACCAAAGACATGGCGAGCTCCATTTCCCTTAACTTGCGATCGGCGATAGGTAGGGAATGTGGTTGAATGGGTCATTCCATTATTCCATGAGCACCAGCAAGTTAAATTGGGCCAGCAGGTGATGCTCAAAACCATGGCGAGCTCCAAGGGCCCGTACATCAACCGGGCACTCTCGAAGCGACATTTTTTGACTTGGTGCCCCTTTGGATTGTACAACCCCTCTGTGAGACATCTAAATTCTTTGGAAAAGTGATCAACCTGCGCAACAAGTAGGGCCGCTGCTTTGAACACCCCTTCGACGTGAACCTCGAAAACAAACGCTCAAGGCAACCATTGGAGTGGCGTTCAAGGCAACCATTGGAGTGGCGTCCTCTGAGGACAAGCGCAGCTGGGTCCTCAAAAGAAGGCCCCCCCATTTTCGGGTTTCTTTGAAGGGGAAACGGAAACCAACCACCTCAATGGGGTCCCTAAAAATTGAGAAACTCCCCTCTCTTCTCAACATAGATCGCTCATTAGGCGGGGGCCACCAGAGTCATCCAACGCCTGGTGAGTCTGAGCAGTGAATAACAGCCTCCCTCAGCAAGCTGCCATGACAAAGGCAGAACCAATCCGGGTGACTACTTGAGTTTATCGCTGGGGGTTGGAGCGATTGGAACATAGACCAACAAAATTTGTCGGGTTCCCCTGGCAAAAGAGGGCTGCAACCAGGCTGAACCTGGCAGAGGTTCCATGCTCAAACTTCGTGCCTGGTAGATTGGCGCCAGCACGTCCTCCGATACGATCCTGAATGCCGCCAATTTGGGAAGGTGGGCCAAATTGCTAGAAGGGACCTCACGCACGATGTGCCCCATCTAAGAATAGCCAGGCGAAACGGAAACATTCCACCTGAGGAGAGGAGTGGAAAGCCAGTAGCGCACACATGTGGAGCTTTGAGGGTTGCCAAAAGAGTGGCGAACTGCGCTGCTAACATCCGACAAGCAGGCAGGCTCAAATGAGCGCTGGTCCTCCAGAATTGCCAAGTGGGGAAAGGAGAGCGCAATTCCGCCCTCGCATTCTAGATGCCAACTGGAAACGGCTTAGCGGCTACATTCACTTGCGAGAGAAAGGCTTCCGGTCTGCACCCTCATGAACTTCTATCACTATGAACTCCTGAAAGAGGCTGCCAGAGGGGCCATGGCAAAGCCGCTTCCAGTCAATCGTCTGCCCCCATATTGTCTCTGGAAAGAAGCTCTAGGGGGCCAAAAATCACCGCGGACAAGGCGGGATTTGAGCCCTTGACCTAACCCACCCAAACTCCCTAAGCTATGGAACTGGAATAGGCATCCTGATGTGCTTATACTGACATGTTTGCAAACAAAAAGAAGAAAAAACAACCAACGCAAACCAAACAAAACAAGCTGCGCAGAACAAAGGCACCAACCAAGTTCTCCAGTCGAGTGGCTGCCGCCCACCGACGCGGTGCATATCCTGGGCTGACCACCCCCCCAACTTCTGGACAATTCCAGTGACACGTTTTGTCCACGCAAGCTTCTTTCAAGCGCTGCTGCGGTGTGGGTTCCAGATATTCCAAGCGTGCAACCAAAGGGGCCTTGCATCAACAATGAGGTCCCCTCAATAAACTGTATCAGTTGAAGCTAGGACCAATGTTTGCGGGCTCAAACACAATGGGACCCTCGGCATCGCGGACACCTGATGCGTTGCGACATGATAGGCATTTTGAATGTGCCAATCGCCTGGAAAATTACGAACGTGTCCGATTTGTAACTTGCAGTTGACGGAAGTTGAAAACCATTCAGGTTTCTTCACGCACAGGCGACATTAGTGCGAGCGTCCCCTCAGCAAGCTTGCACCCTTTGAGCCTGGACCCCCAAACCATCCCCCTCCATGTGAACGCGGCCCCCTGTGAGAAACACAATCCATGCAGTAGTGATAGATTCCCTGAAAACCAGCAGGGGAAAATATAATGTGGCATTCTAACTGGGGCGTTCAAAATGGAGGGCTGGCCAATCCAAATCCACAATCCCTATACGGAAGCCACTGCAAAAAGGGAACCGGTTCCTTGCGTAACCAAAGGTAAGGATCTTGCGGATTACCTTTGAACAGCCCCATCCACCTCCATTTATGCGAATGCGTGGGAAAAACATATTCCATGCAGTGAAAGATTTATTTAAAACCAGCAGGGGGAAACAACATATGGCATATAGCAGCTGAAAGCAAAATGTTGAACCCAGTGTCTGGACTTCAAACTTTGCACACGCCGTTTGCAGGGGTGTATGGTGCCTTTTTGGCTGCCTTTACGGAAATTTAAAAATTATCGGCGCGCATATCTGCAATTCCCAAACTAGACATATTAAGGAATCCCACAGATGATCGTAGTCGAGCTTGTTTTGCCCTCGAGTGAGCTTGTCATGATTTACCCGGGGTTGTGCGCTAGTCTTGGCCCGCATGTGGGGTAGACACAGAAGGGGATTTCGCCCATCTCAAAATATGTTTTTTTGTTTTTTTACAAAAACAACTGCGGATGGAGAACGGGAACAAAAAATCCTGCACCAGTTGGGATGGATGAAACCCAATAGATACTGGGGCAAACCACCCAACTGGTGCGAAGCAGATTTGGTGAATCCATAAGCATCGGAAGAGTCACTCTATCACTCTGGTACGAGTTTCCCTCAAAACAGACCCAAATCAGGGTGGTTTGGTTCCCTTCCAGATCACCCCAAAAGGGTCCCCTTAAGATAGACACATTCATATTGTTTTCGCGTGCTTTTTTTTTCCGGTGGTTTTCTAAGAAAGAGGCGCCATTGAGCGAGGCACCACCCAGGCAGAGAGGGTCAAGTGCTGGGACCGCGGCACCGGGGCGTGCAGGTTCCAGTGCAGCAGCACCGTCTAAGAAACGTGGCCGGGCGGATGTGCTTCAAAATGAGTCCAAACCAGGGTTGGAGACTGGAGGGGTTGGAGGAGACTGGAGGGGTTGGAGGAGCTGGAGGGGTTGAGGGGTTTAGTGGGTTGGGAGTGTTGTGCCTTTGGCCTTGCACAATGAAATGGGTAAATGAAGCATTGAATATAAGTCGCACCATAACCCAGGAGTCTTCATCCACAGAAGCTGGTAAAGAGGCCTCCGTTGGAGGTGGCACATGCCTTGAGCGGGGCAGGGGCAAATGGCCTGTTTCCAACTGTCCAAGCATCGACTTGAGGCTGACAGTCGGACTTGCGCAACAATGCGCCGGTGGGGCCCAAAAAACGGACACGTTCATATGGGCCTGTACTGAACAGCACACCTGACTTCCTCCATGCCACGCCGATTGGGGGGCAAGACGCAGAGAAGAAGAGCTCGTGCAGGTCGTCCATGCTGGCCACCTCCCTCGGAGCAGTTGCATTGCCAACACCTTGCGGAGGAGGGGTCCCCCCAATACGAGTAGGGGGTTCCATTTTAGAGGGGAGCCGGATCACTTTTGGGGGGGTAACGCACCCATAGCTAGCAGAAAAGGTCAGGCCTTCCAGCCCTTTTTCTCCCTCCCTGGCTGTCAGCTTCACTAACTCCTTCCCTCCTTCCCCTCCCCTCCCCTCCCTCCCCTCCCTCCCTGCGCTTGGGGGATCCAAGTGGCCTATTCACTGAAGGAACCCAAGAGCCCAAGGCACGACCACAGCGCAGCCCCGCCGTACTCGCCCGCGCAAGCGTAGCTTTGAAGCCTCAGACCGAGCGAGTTCTGCAAGGGCGCATTCAAACATGGGTTGATTTGCTAGAAGTACCCCTACGTTTGCCCCAATTAAATTCTGGCCCGGTGGGGACTAAATTGTGAAATGTGTTGTTTAAATAATAGGATTCCAGATGAAGGCATGAAACAAACTCTGAGCAGTCCCCATAATTGAGCAGCCCTATGCCATCGCCTGCGAAGTTCTTTCCCAGAAAGCGAAAAAGGCGTTCTTCCGCCCGTATGAGCTATGCATTGCTCGCGTGCGGTCCCGGTCACAGGGCTCCGTATCTGTCAACCCACCAGGAGTAAGTTCATCTAAAAGTGTCCGAAACAAGCGATGCCTAAACCACCCGAAAAATGGAAACCTAGGGACCCCCTTGGGCCAACCCTCCCTGCGCAAAGAAGCAGGCCGGCGCGCTGGGCGCGCACGTGCTGCCTCCACCAAACCTCCGCGAGGCTCCACATGAGTCTGTCCAGGCGCCTCAAGTTGCGACCAAAACGACTCAGGAGGCGCGTGAGGCGGGTCTTTTGAGAGGGTTCGCTATAATTAGTTAAAAGGATATAAGCTTATATCCTTTTGGATATATCACCTTTTAGGCCCTTGAAAGCGAGTTTCCTGGGTGGGGTGATCAACTTCCAAGATGTGGACATCCAGAGTCGCTTTGGAAGCTGTGTCGCCAGCCATTCAGCATCAGCACCATGTGTTTGTCAAGTTCCCAAATATGATCAAGTTGTGGGAGGCCTGCTGGTTGCAAAACCCGCCAAGCCCTGGCCTATCACTTGCTTCGGTGCAACTGAGGCTTCCAGGTGCGCAATGTTCAGGACTTGCCTGGCCTGATTATTCATACACTGGCGGATTCACAGGGAGGGTGCTTTTCCCAAACAGTGAAGGATCCTTTCTAAACATGGGACGCCCCCATTACTCAACATTTATGAAAGCCAGAGAAAATTCCGCCTCTCCCCAAGTGGCATTGCGAAAAGTGGGGTGGGCCTCCCATGTCCAGCTGTGTTGCCCCCAGTCCCCCCAACCCCCCCCTGCATGCGGAGCCCAAAGCCCAAGCGAGGCGCTGGAGATCCATCGGGATCTGCAGACCCATCAAGGCGATGCAAAGTGCTGAGATCACCCCCGTGTCCACGAGACCTGAGCCATGGGTACTGGATGGGCGCGCAGGGGAAGCCAAAAGGACGCAGAATCAAAGGGCACCTCAAAACTTGAGAAAAGGTCAAGTGTCCTTGGAGTAGTTGGGCTTCAACACCCCTTTTATTTGGAAAAAACCCAACCCGACCGAGTGCCCAATGGTTGCCCCGGCTGGCTGTCGAGGCCTTCGGTCACAAGCGGCCGAAAACGGGCTGGCACTGCCAAGCAAGTTCGCCCAGCTGCGCACCGAATTGAGGAACTCCATCCGGAGGATCTTGGCCAAGGAAAAGTCCTCACTCAGGAACCTGCAGCCATGACAATACCACCACTCCTCATGTTCTTGGCCGAGCTTTGCCGCGTGCAATCAAAGACTTCACAGCTCAACAAAAACGCACTAGCCCTCAGAAGGCGGAGTCTGTCTCAGCCGCTTCTGCAGCTGCAGTGCCAAGTAGCCAGCCCAGCTGCTGCGGCGAGAACCTAGGCGGCAGAAGGCTGCAGAAGGCAAGAAAAGCGCAGCAGTGCCAGCAGTGCCAGCAGTGATGACTGATCTACAGTGCCTTGCGCAAGTTTGTGCTGTCACCTGTCCTGGCATCGGCAGTCCAACAGCATTTGTGTTTTGCCTTCGACTGTGTGATTTAATGCGCGAAAGGCAAACAACACATGTGCAAGGCTGATTGCACAAAACAATACCAGTTCACGTCGCATTCAGGCGCACTGCCATGCTCATCCGGTGTTGAAATACATCAAGAGCTGGCTGCACCCATTGTCACTGGGCCAAATGTGGAAAAGCTCCAACACCAGACACCTCTTCAAATCCGTCAACTTTGGAACAAGAGGCTCCGGTGCAACCAAGCGGCTGCCGCGTCCGCAAAAACGCGATGAGGTCCATGGGGTAATCGCGGGTGACCCCCGATGCCTTGAAGCAAAAGGTAGCCACGGGCCGATTGCTGGCCCCATGTCACAACGATCAAAGTCACACCCATGATAGGCGAAAGGAAAACAAATACCCCATTTGGTGTGTGTGTGTGGTTGTGTGTGTGGTTGCGTGTGTGGTTGTGTGTGTGGTTGTGTGTGTGGTTGTGTGTGTGTGGTTGTGTGTGTGTGTGGTTGTGTGTGTGTGTGGTTGTGTGTGTGTGTGGTTGTGTGTGTGTGTGTGGTTGTGTGGTTGTGGTTGTGTGGTTGTGGTTGTGTGGTTGTGGTTGTGGTTGTGGTTGTGGTTGTGGTTGTGGTTGTGGTTGTGGTTGTGGTTGTGGTTGTGGTTGTGGTTGTGGTTGTGGTTGTGGTTGTGGTTGTGGTTGTGGTTGTGGTTGTGGTTGTGGTTGTGGTTGTGGTTGTGGTTGTGGTTGTGGTTGTGGTTGTGGTTGTGGTTGTGGTTGTGGTTGTGGTTGTGGTTGTGGTTGTGGTTGTGGTTGTGGTTGTGGTTGTGGTTGTGGTTGTGGTTGTGGTTGTGGTTGTGGTTGTGGTTGTGGTTGTGTGTGTGTGTGTGTGTGTGGGTGCGTGTGTGCGTGTGTGCGTGTGTGCGTGTGTGCGTGTGCGTGCGTGTGCGTGCGTGCGTGCGTGCGTGCGTGCGTGCGTGCGTGCGTGCGTGCGTGCGTGCGTGCGTGGGTGGGTGGGTGGGTGGGTGGGGTGGGTGTGTGTGTGTGTTTTTGTTGGTACCCTCGTTTAGGGCGGTTTCAAAGACAAATCACATGGAAACCACAACTGTTTAGGGGTCCCCTATTTTGAGGTACACACACACGGACCAAACAGAATCTCCCAGGCCCATGCTGATGCTAGCTGGCGAAGCGACCCAACAACAAGAGGAGAATTACTGATGCCACTGAGCAACTGGGCAACCTAAACCTGCAAACCAGTCCGGCAAACAACGGAAAGCGCCGGTGCGATGGCTTTCCCTTGTTTTCCCTTGCTTTCCCTTGCCTTCCTTCGCCGGACCTTGCTGTTTCCCTTGCGTTGCCTTGCTTTCCCTTGCTTTCCCTTTCCGTTGCTTTCCCATTTCCTTGCTTTCCCTTGCTGGCCCTTGCTTTCCCTTGTTTTCGTTTGCTTTCCCTTGCTGTCCCTTGCTTTGCCCGTGCTTTTGCTTGCTTTGCCTTGCTGCCCCTTGCTTTACCTTGTTTTCCCTTGCTTCCCTTGCCTTGCTGTCCCTTGCTTTCCCTTGTTTTCCCTTGTTTTCCCTTGTGTTCCCTTGCTGTCCCTTGCTTTCCTTTGCTTTGCCTTTCTGTGCCCGTGCTTTTGCTTGCTTTGCCTTGCTGTCTTGCTGTCTCTTGCTGTCTCTTGCTTTCCCTTGCTTTGCCTTGCTTTGCCCGTGCTTTTGCTTGCTTTGCCTTGCTGTCCCTTCCTTTCCCTTGTGTTCCTTTGCTTTGCGTTGCTTTGCCCATGCTTTTGGTTTCTTTGCCCTGCTATCCCTTGCTTTCACTTGTTTTCCCTTTCACTTGCTTTCCCTTGCTTTTCCCTTGCCTTCCTTTGCTTTGCCTTGCTTTGCTCGTGCTTTTGCTTGCTTTGCCTTGCTCTCCCTTGTTTTCCCTTGCTTTCCCTTGCCTTCCCTGGCTGTCCCTTGCTTTCGTTTGCTTGTCCCTGCTTTCCCTTTCCCTTTCTTTCCCTTGCTTTGCCGTGCTTTTGCTTGCTTTGCCTTGCTGCCCCTTGTTTTCCCTTGCTTTCCCTTGCCTTCCTTCGCTTGACCTTGCTTGTTCCCTTGCGTTGCCTTGCTTTCCCTTGCTTTCCCTTTCCGTTGCTTTCCCATTTCCTTGCTTTCCCTTGCTGTCCCTTGCTTTCCTTTGCTTTGCCTTGCTTTGCCCGTGCTTTAGCTTGCTTTGTGCTGGCCCTTGCTTTCCCTTGTTTTCGCTTGCTTTCCCTTGCTGTCCCTTGCTTTGCCCGTGCTTTTGCTTGCTTTGCCTTGCTGCCCCTTGCCTTATCTTGTTTTCCCTTGCTTCCCTTGCCTTGCTGTCCCTTGCTTTCCCTTGTTTTCCCTTGTGTTCCCTTGCTGTCCCTTGCTTTCCTTTGCTTTGCCTTTCTGTGCCCGTGCTTTTGCTGGCTTCGCCTTGCTGTCTTGCTGTCTCTTGCTTTCCCTTGCTTTGCCTTGCTTTGCCCGTGCTTTTGCTTGCTTTGCCTTGCTGTCCCTTCCTTTCCCTTGTGTTCCTTTGCTTTGCCCATGCTTTTGCTTTCTTTGCCCTGCTATCCCTTGCTTTCACTTGTTTTCCCTTTCACTTGCTTTCCCTTGCTTTTCCCTTGCCTTCCTTTGCATTGCCTTGCTTTGCCCGTGCTTTTGCTTGCTTTGCCTTGCTCTCCCTTGTTTTCCCTTGCTTTCCCTTGCCTTCCCTGGCTGTCCCTTGCTTTCGTTTGCTTGTCTTTGCTTTCCCTTGTTTTCCCTTTCCCTTGCTGTTTTTTGTGTTCCTTTGCTTTGCCTTGCTTTGCCCGTGCTTTTGCTTGCTTTGCCTTGCTCTCCCTTGTTTTCCCTTGCTTTCCCTTGCCTTCCCTGGCTGTCCCTTGCTTTCGTTTGCTTGTCTTTGCTTTCCCTTGTTTTCCCTTTCCCTTGCTGTCCCTTGTGTTCCTTTGCTTTGCCTTGCTTTGCCCGTGCTTTTGCTTGCTTTGCCTTGCTCTCCCTTGTTTTCCATTGCTTTTGCTTGCCTTCCCATGCTTCCCTTTGATTGTCCTTGCTTTCCCATTCCCTTGCTTTCCCTTGCTGTCCCTTTCTTTCCCTTGGTTTCCCTTGCTTTCCCTTGCTGTCCGTTTCTTTCCCTTGGTTTCCCTTGCTTTCCTTTGCGTTGCCTTGCTTTCCATTGCTTTCCCTTTCCCTTGCGTTCCCCTGATTTCCCTTGCAGTCCCTTGCTTGCTGTCCCTTGCGGTCCTTTGCTTTCCTTTGCTTGTCCTTGCTTTCCTTTGCGTTGCCTTGCTGTCCCTTGCTTTCCCTTTCCCTTGCTTTCCCCTGATTTCCCTTGCAGTCCCTTGCTTGCTGTCCCTTGCTTTCCTTTGCTTTGCCTTGCTTTGCCTGTGCTTTTGCTTGCTTTGCCTTGCTGTCCCTTGCTTTCCCTTGTGTTTCCCTTGCTTTTTTGTTGCTGTCCCTTGCTGTCCCTTGCTTTCCTTTGCTTTGACTTGTTTTGCCCCCCGTGCTGTTGCTTGCTTTCCCTTGCTGTCCGTTGCTGTCCCTTGCTTTGCCTTGCTTCCCTTGCCTGGCTTGCTTTCCCCTACTTTCGCTTCCTTTGCCCTTGGTTTGCCTTGCTTTGCCTTGTTGTCCCTTGCTGTCCCTTGCCAGCTTGACCCAAGTCAGAGCAAACCAACAACTGCACAACCCTCCTGCACTGAATCACATACAAGCAACAACCCAAACCAGCGCCCGTACTTACACACCCCGTGTCGTCTCCCTGTGACCTGCAAACCAGCCTTGCGGTGGCAGAAAGTGCTCGCGACATCCCCTGCATCCCCGGCATCCCCGGCATCCCCTGCATCCCCGGCACCCCTTGTGCGCCCAAGTCCGGCGAGGCCGGAAGCAAAGTAAAATGATGTAAAACTGGCACGCTTTTTGGCCCGCGAGAGCCACAGACGAAAAGGTCAGACATGATAGGCAGAACGAAAAAGCACGAAAAACACAGGGAAAAACACTAAAAACCAGCCTTGCGGTGGCAGAAAGTGCTCCAAAAAATACTCCCATTTTTGGGAGTATTTTTCAGCTGACCAGACCTGCAAATCTCCCGGAACGAGGTTACCCCCCCCCCCCCCCCACAACTTCGTACACTAACTCCCAGCGCTTCAAGAGCTTTCCGTCATCTGCAAATCGGTTTCCCAACCAAGGTGCCACAATGAATGCAAGTCCACGCCCCGCGTGCTGGTCAAACAGCCTCCACGAGAGTCCTGGGCGAAGTCACGAACGACTTTTGAGCGCAAGCCAATTCAGATTGGCTTAAGCCCTGCCGTGGACAATGCCCCAAACAAGCACTAGGGATGAGGAAGCAAAATGGTAAATTGAAGCAAAGCCGGGCAGGAAGTGGTTGGCAAATACACCCGCAACCAAATGGGAGGGGCTGCCTGGGGATCTGGCCGAACGAAAGCCGCAGGGTTGATCCACCCCGCGGTTTTAAACAAACATATGTTATAGCGCAAATTGCTTGAACAAGGTGTCTCTTTCTTCCCTTGAAAGGCGGCCAGGGTCCGGTCTCGGCAATTCTTTGCAACCAGCCCAGCGGGAAGATAGGTGTCCAGCAACAAGGTGGGGCGGTTGGGCCCCTGTTGCTGCAATCAAACACGCATGCCACCTGCATGTGGGGCTCAGCTCAAATGTAGAGCGTGCGCTAGCTGTTTCCTACTTCGCAACTAGCTGGGGTCCTAAAAAGGGGGAATCCCAAACCCTAATCCAAAATCCGTAGTGGCACCCCACTACAAGAAGGAACGCCACTCATCTGGCATGAGGACTAAGGGATCGATTTTGTTTGGACAATGCAGCTTGGCAGCCGAAGAGGTGCGCAAAGGTCATTCAAGCCTAGGACTTTTGCCAGGGCTCTTTCGCAGAGCAATAGTAGGGTCTCACTCCGCTCCAGGTCGTCAAACACCGCGGCTCGCGGGATGAAGAATGGCTCGTAGCCTCACAGGTGAATGACAAGTCAGCAGTGTGCTGTAGGAGATTTATGCTGACCCAGCTCTGTGTATCAACTTGGCATCCAACCCAAGGCCACGCCACGCCCTTTGTTGGCTTGCAGGGCATCCATTCACGGCACACTGCTCCCCCGCGCCCATCGGAGCAGGGATGTGTCCGTTCAAACCACCGGGCTTACAGAATGTCAGCCGGGCGTGGAGGGCTTTTGACCACTGACCGTAAATACATTCGCCTGTCGTGTCCCCTGAAGAACTGGCGATCCAGGTTGCGCCTATTCTGGCTGTGCTTCCCATTCTGTCCAGAAATGCTGGGGCTGCTTTAAATCCCCGGGGTCGCCATTGTAGCATTTCCCCTATAATTCAGAATCCTGTGACTGCTAAAGAAACAGATTTACTCGCGGGCGAAGAACAATCGGGTCGTGCAAACAAATCAGGGTCAACAGTATAGATCTCGTCTTTGAAGTGGTCCCCCAACAAATGAACATGAAAATAACTTCTTGATCCAACCAAAACTAAGCCCAGCAAACAGGCACACAAAGCGGGTTGCCCACAAGAGGCCCTGATTCTGTTTAATCTGGAGGTTTCCTGGTTCGCTTCAATGTCCAGCTTATTTGTCGGGTTGGGGAAACTGGCCTTGGCCCTTTACCTCAATACTAAGTTTAGAACTTGCAATACTAAATTCAATACTGGGACTCTGAAGGGTGTCTTGGCAACTAAACTGTTTACAACACTACACGGGACATCTGAGACTAAAGTAAGTACTAGCAAGTCGGAGTCGAACCAAAGAGAGCCCCGGTGACTGGTGGCAAAGTTCGGGATAAAGCAGCCGAGTGCTACAACTGCATTATCAGACAACAACTAATAGTACGAGTACTGGCACAACGAAAGGAAAACAAGGTCTAAATGCGGTTCTTTTCAGACAATTGCCGAACACGTGTAAATATTGCAATTCTCAATGCAACGATGGGTGAAACGAATAGTGGATCAACGTTTAAACCTATGAAAACTGCGTAGCGCACACGGGTCACCGTTCGCGAGGATGCGATCGTCTTGTGCCAAGATGCGAATCTCGGAATTACCTGAGGCAAGCTTGGGATGTGCCCTGCTTCCTGAAAATGGCTCAGCCGTTTGAGGGGCATTGCCAATTTGAGGAAAAGAGGCGGAGTGATTCGTCCAATATTTGTTAGAGGTCCTTGCAATGGTGAAATAATTCAAGGACGCGATTTGACCTTGTTACGTCCTATCAGGCTGCACTAGGCAATATTTGGATGTGGGAGCCCTTTTGGATGCTCTCACCCATCCTAGGAATGCTTGGGTTTTCTTGCAATAGGGGAGATGTGAAACTGTCGGAACCAATCAAAAAAATCGTGCCAGTCTGGACGTGTATGCATCACGGACCCCGGGCTGGGGACTTGCTGAAGTCTTGAAGGATAAATTCCCAGAATCACCTGCTGTAAAAAGGGATTCTCTCAGTCGGGTTCTAAAAGGTGACTTCCAATTGGCCCGACTGCATCCGCTGAAGGGTGGAGCGGCTTGCCGGCCGCAAAACAAGACAATGCAATACGTAGCATTTCAACCTTTGGAAGCTCAAACACCTGATTCATGACACATCCAACGACCTGAGACAACTGGCATGGCACAGTTTCCGCAACGCAGCTTCCGCAACCCATGCAAACGGTGTTTGGCAGGTTGGAAGAATGTATCCATGGCCTGCTGGCGAACCCCCGAGGCGAAACCACACAAACGATGAGCCATCTAGCACCATGTTGTGGCCATGTAGGGTTTCAATTGGAGCCCTCCGCCTCGTGGGGATGCAAAGCTAGGGTTTCAGCTTTTTAGGGAAATCCAAATCCAGGGCCCCCTGCAACAGGAAATGGCAAACTCTGCCCTGCCAACCTCAAACTTGCAGAACCTGAGTCCAAGACACCTCGAGGTATTGACCTCGGGGTCTCAAACGACTCCACTGCCTCAGCTCGATCGGGGGCGCAGGAGCGAACCTATGGCCATATGATGCGAGGCTTGCCAGAAAGAGGCGACCTTTTCGGCAAAACTAAGCTCGCAGAAGGTGCCGCCTGTACCCCGCAGGGGGATTTCCCCCCGATCCAAGGAGTCCTAAGGAGCGGTATAGGAGCGCCCGCCACGTTTAGTTGCATCGCGTTGCCTTGTTTTGCTACCTGGGATGCCGTATGCATTCGCAACGCCACAGCAGCGGGCGCAAGGTGCTGGCTGCGATATGTGGAAGCCCGTGTTGCGCTTTGGCTGTGCTTTCTGCTCGGCTGTGTTGTCCTCAATTGGGCACAAACCAAGCTTCATTGCCTGCTTGCCGGGCTGCCACCGCCACCTTTGCCGGCGCCACAGGGTCTCTAGGTGTAGCTTTGCGACGATGGGCCACATGCCGAAATCTTGAATCCGCTGCGTCTTTGCTTTGCCCTGTTCGATGCTCCATTGCAATGATATCGGAAAGGGCTATGCACTTTTTCTCTCCTTAGTGATACCCGCCTGCGATTTCCCCTCATTGAAGAGCCCGCCAGCTGTCGCTAGCTCGATTCAACGCGACATGGACGGCAGAGAAAGGATAAGCAAAGGGAGAAAAAACACAAAGAGCGGGAGAAGCACCAAAGAGGGAAACGACAAGCAAACAAACCCACACATCGCTCATCCTGCGAGGATCCCTACAATACCGACCGAGATCTGCGTGTCAAAACCACGGGGTTCAAGCGCCGACAGCCTGCACAACAAACAGCTTGCAGGCGTTCCACTGAAGCCAAGCCAAAAACACTGTGGCTGGAACACGTGTTTGAAGTGGCCTCATGGCCAAAGTTGTAGACCGAACCTCGTGCGAAGAAAAGAAGCAAAGCCACAAAACCAAAACCAAGCAGTACCGCAAACCACGACAACACAAGCACCAGAAACGTTCCGGATCTGCAGGCTTCTCAGGAAAGATGTTGTCGAAGAAAGCAATTCCCGCCCGCCACGACACGTGTTCCGTTCCCTCAACACGAACATGGCCGGATGGCTTTCCTATTGGTTTGCTGTGGTACTCCCAATGGGAAAAGGCCCCCCGCCCCCAGCCCACCCGCCAACTCTCCGCTCCACCCCCCCCCTCCATCCTCGTGAAATCGCACAACTAAATAAAACCCAAAAGTCCGCTGGACATCCCCAAAATGCAAAACTTAAACCGCCGAGCGCCAAGGTCCCGCTCCACCCCACCCCGCTCTCCACCCCGCGGCTTGCCCGCCCGCCTCGGGCGGTCCAGCCAGGGGCCCCGGGAACTCCGTGGCCGGCAGCGCCACCGAGAGGCGCTGCAGCTGCAGCTTGGGCACCGCCAGGGGCCGGGCCTCGGGGACCAAAAGCCCGGGGGTGGGGGGTTTGGGCTGGGGGGGGGTTGGGGGCGGGGGGGAGGGGGGTTGGGCGGTTGGACACTGAAGGGGGTCCTGGGTTGCAACCTCCTTCATTTGGGATATTTGTTTTTTCGGGTTCTTGGCTGCCACATATACTTGGTTGGAGGTGGGTTCAGGGCTGGGATTGGGGTTGGGTTGATGGGGTGGGTTCATGGTGGGTTCATGGTGGGTTCATGGTGGGTTTAGGCTGGGTTTATGCCGCCCCTTGTCCACTTCCACGATTGTTGGAAACGGGGCCGTAAAAGAGCTAGCTACCACTTGTTCAGGACCCTGGTAGAAATGCATTGGAATTTTGGGGTTGGCAATCTTTAGTGAAGTCACCAAACAAAATCGAAAACATGCCGTGTCACAACTAGGTTTCTTTACCAGCAGAGGGGCCACCAGAAAAATGGGTGCCAAAAGACATACCGGGATCGACATTCTTCTCTGAAGGGTTTCCCAGAATTGCGAAAGGGGCACACCGTTCTTCCACAAGCAACAACTGCAGGCCCGAAGCCGCACATTCGCCTCATGACAACCCCTCGAATCGGTGAGCTCATGGCTGTGGAACACCATCCTGATAACACTTCATTCGGCGACCCACATAAACCAAGCAGCGTCCTCTGTATATCTCAGCAGAAGCTTGCGCGTCCCAAGGTCCTGCAGTGGTTCCAAGCATGCGTTTGTTTGAATTAAGGGAACCAAGAACTGGAATAAATTGCAGAAGGGAGCCTAGTAGCCACGCAGGAGGAGACAGTATGACAAGGCAGCGAGGCGATCTTCGCGAGCGGTTTTCAAAGCGCCAATCGAAACATGGAGCTCCTGGACAACTCAGATCCGGGGGAACATTTCCCCACAAGCCGCGCTTGCAATCAGCACCAAGCGCCGCTTACGACGCGGTGCAGGTCACAAAACGATACTATCCCAAACAAGATCTCTTTCGAAAACAAGACTTGGATTGGGCAGAATCAACTGGTCAGTGAGAAAACTAACATTTTCCACAGGTCCAACCAAAACGAGCCTAAGCTTTTCTCTGGGGCTCACAAAAAAGAAAAGAAGCAGCCAAGCCACTTGTGCCTTTTGCACCTCACACCGTTTACGACCCAGCGTCCCACCCGCTCCGTACACAGCTCAGCCGGACTTTGGCCCGTCTTGCTATGCACTGCACCAAACGCGCCAGCTTCCACCAGCACCTGGAAAACAGCGTCGAACCGTCTCAAAAGGAAGTGGTCCTCTCAATCTAAGGGTCTGCTTTTCATGCCCTGCACATTCCCCTTGGAAAGAGCCACAAGAAGGCTAACAGAGTCCAAGAATTGGTGGAAGCCGCAGTTGTGGCATGGACACCGAACGTGCCAAACACGAAACCAAGCACTTGTGGCCTCTAGGTGTTCATTCCTGCTGTCGTGTCAACTTCCCTTCACACATTGGGTGGCCACCGAGTCTGTGGCAAACATTGACCTTTTGGTTCGAAAACTGTTGAATGGATGCACCCTTCATAGGCTTTCCCCAAAACCCGCACGGCTCGTCACAAGTTTAAGAGGATTCGAAACTGGGGCAAAACGATGTTTGACAACCCCTTGATCCAAACATGCTTGAGCTAAGCTATGCCAAAACTTGAAGGGGTCTACCCAATACTGGAACCTGCAAATTGTCATCCAACTGAACGCACGCCATGGTCCCAACTCCTCGTGCGCGCCATGATCATGAATACATGAGTTGAATCAAAAACCCTAAAATAATAATGATGATAATAATAATAATAATAAACAAACCCCAAGTAGAAGGCTGCTTCCTGCCGGAGAGATAAGTATTAAATTTGGGGGTGACCATTTCTGGGTGAAAGCATAAATCGGTTGGATAATTATGGGATACAGGCGCCTGTGCCACACTTTGGCGGCCCATGAAGGCTGCCACATGCAGCGGCGTCCAGCCAGCCGCATCCGCCGCATCCAGGAGCCGCCAACTGAGCCGCTGTTTACTTGGGGGCTGGTGATAAACAAAAAAACCTGGCATCCACTTTTTTGATGTAAATTAATGTTGACCCCGGATTGATAAACCCCTGTTTATTAATATGGGGGTGTTGCCCTCCAAAAGTGATAAATCCCCATTAGATCCGGGGACACCCGCATATTATTTAACAGGGGTTTATTTTGTTGGCCATTCAGGGGTGGGGATCTTGTTGAATGCCCTAGACTTCAACAAAAAGGTGTGGGGTTTCCCTGAAAACCCATCCTAAAAAGGTTGCTGCCTGAGTCCCTACGAACGAATTACAGTATTCCAAAACCTCAAATGCGTGATTCCAAAGATAGGATCTACATCACGGAGAGCTTGTTTGAGCAAGTTACGGACTGGACACCGTCCCGCTTTTTGGCTTGTTTTCACTGTTGGTTTGGGCGCTGGCATGAGCAACCTTCTTGAGTCAGCCGATTTGATGTCACTCTGTACGCATTCGGTTGTAGATTGGTCTCCTTATGCATCTGGACCATTCTTGCATCAAAGTAGATGCCAGGGGCCCTTCTTGATGCCTTTTCTCCAGGAACCCTATGCGACCCTCGGCGAGCCGTAGCCGACGAAAGGGCGCCCAAAACAAAGCGCTCTGCCCGGGGCTGCGCAGAAACCGCTGGGGGGATGACCCCAAAACGGTGAACGGTTTCGCTAATGACAGGGTCCACTTTCGCTTGCGATTCGCGTTGTATTTTACCCCTTTGGGTGAGTCCGCTAGAATAGGTAGACTGTCGGTAGACTGGGTTATGTATGAGTGCAGCAATGCAAGGCTGCTAGAAAAGCACAGGGGGATGAAACAACCGGCAGGTCTCCAGCAAATGGCAACCCACAACGGAATACCTCTTGCAAAAATAGTCAAAGGAGCTCATGGTGCAAAGGCGTCAGCAAA